GACAGCTGTGTCCTGCTTAGGTGTGTGGCTCAGGAGTTTTTATTTGGCTGTAGCTGAAACATAGTGACAAGGTTTAATATGGAAGATGCTGCTTCCTGATACGTGTCAGTGTAAAAAAAGACTTTGGGAGCCAGGACAAGAAGATGGGATCATCATATGGCATCTGAGTCTCTGAGGACCTCACAACTGATTTTTCCACATTTGTGTTTGCTCTTTCCGTATCTATGCAATGTCTCTGAAACGGGGAATTACACCTACCTACACCCATTTTATTCATCACAAAATCCAGGTGCAGAGACCGATACCTAGATTCTTGGAGTCACCCAGAAGAATAAATCCCACTGATATAAATCAGAAGGAAATGTGTAAAAAAGATTCTAAATCTTCACCTAGATGAATTGTTGAAGACAGTGAAAATCCACACGGATGGTGATATCACACAGCCTTTCACTGCAGAGCCAGTGCTTTACCAAGTGCGCCACTACTGATTTGTAACTGCATTTTAGCAGGGCTCTGAAATTGTAGGCATGTTAAAGGTGATCAGAATGAATAATTCTGAGTTGTCGGAGGAGAGGAGAATTATAATAACGAACTGCTGCTCATCACCTTCTGAAGGTAATTTTTTCAGAGGCCACCTGTGAGATTCTGTGAAACCCTTAGGTGAGTCACTTCTAGCAGCCAGCATGTGAAACCTCCAAAAGACTCAGCTCTTGAGTATGCCTTTCTTGTACTAGCTGAGACAAATACAGCTGCATATTTGCCTTACCTGAATTGCTATATTTATACACTGTAATCTACAGATTCAGTCAACTTCTCACCCTTTCCCCCAGTTACTACTAGCGTTGAGCATTAGATACTCCAACTAAACAAGGCAGAACGTTTAAGCTTTTATGTCCTGATGCACAGCTAAGGCTTCAAGTCATCCCAACTACTAAAAAGCACCCAACCAAGGGGTGTTTCACCAGGCTGTGTATTCAGGAGCTGAATCATTGTCAGCAGCTGGATTCTAGAAGGAGTGAAAGCTGCTTCCCATCCCATCTCTGGCACATCAGGTAGGACAAGTTCGGATAGCAAAACTTGGAAGAACATTTGGTATGTGACATGCCTACCACACACAACCTCTTTCACAACCATGTTATTTAACTACCAGCATACATGGTCATCCATGCAGACACTGAGAAAATACATACATCACCCCTGTATTTTCTTTTTCTCCTGGAAAAAAATGGCAGGGCTGGGAGTGAAATATTAATTGAGACTCTTGTTACACTTGACAGATGCTAGCAGAGTTCTTAATCACTCAAGATGGCCAGAATACTCATTAACTGAGTTGAGAAATCACATCCTTCAATGACCATCTGTCTTCTTGCAGATCGATTTCTCCCATGCCTGCAGAATTATGTTAGGATAAGATGGAGTGAGCATTTGGGGCCTGAAAGAAAGAGCCACATTGCTGTCTGCCATGACTTTCTTCAGTTCAGGCACAAGTAGAGTATGAGGCCCATAAGCCTTTTTCCTAGAATTAAATGGGCTGTGGACAGTAGAGTAGTGACTACACAGGAGCATCAAACGGCCAGCTTCGAAGAGGACAAGTAACAGGCTCTAAGTAAAAACTTTAAGTAAAAATCTCTAAGTAAAACAGCCACTGAAGATCCACTCTGCACTTTTCTTGTATGTATAGCATATCATACCTGGGTGGCACTTGACTTTTGGGATCACCATTTGATAGTGAAAACAGGCAATGACAGTGTGTGCATCGTTTCTCTGGGAATTGCAAAGGAAGGAGATCACAAAGCTCTGGCTTGTCCTACCCACTCACAGCAGTTCTGATGTCTCTCTAACACAAAAGTCAAAGCCAAAAGCTTTTTCCTCACCCACAAAGAGGGACACTAAATTTGCATTTCAATAGAAAGTTTAGAATATTTACTCATCACGAGGAAAATAAATGTCTGATTATATGACAGGGATTATGAGTTCAGTACCTTTGCTCTTTTGCCGTATAAGGCAATACTCCATTCTCAAGGGAAAACCAGGAGGGAACTAAAGCTGATTTGTCTGTGAATTATAATCCCAACACGCAGCCATGAGTTTTTAAAAGGCAATAGTCCCTGGGAAAGGAGACCAGCACAGAACTTACATCTGTCCTAGCAGTCTACTACTTCATTCCTGAAATCTTTGCATCTGTTATCCCTGTTCATCAGAAACACCATAAACGAAATAGATCAGCGTGTTCTTTTGCTGCCATATTTTCGGTGGTCTAGGGGGGAGATCAGAAATGCTAAACTTTATTTATTTCTCAGGATCAGAAAGGAAAACATATCCTAGTATTGAACACAGTATTCAAAGACATGAGATTTATGAAACTGAGGGCTTTTTGCAACAGTGTGACAAATTCTGTATTTAAACAGATCACTCCCATCACACAGAAGCAGAAATATAACATGCCTTTTGTTCAGATTTACCATGTTTAATTATTCATTTTTTTCAGTAGATTAACCATGTATTCAGTTAAATAAAGTAATAAACAAAAATGTTTAAAGTGAGGCGATATTGTCTTTATGTTATTTTTAAATTGTGATCAGGTATCTGTGTGACATGGAAAACTAAAAATCAAACAAAGTACATAATCTTTTCTTCTCTAGTGAAAGTTAGTGCCAAATTCTGCTCTCAGGTAAATTTCTATAAAGCATTGTCTATAATGGCATTACAATAGAAGGGCGTATTTCTGGGTTTAAAAAGTGCAAAAGATCAGGAGTTGCTCTCATGTCTTAAAGGCCCAGCACACAGCAAGTGGAGAGCTGGTGTCTGGCTGTAACACATACCGTCCTGCTGAACTAGGTTGAGCAGTTGCAGCATCACGCAACTCCAATAAACGGATTTGATTTCACCAGATGGCAATTTGGTTAAATTTGGTTAGTTGTGGGTTTGGGTTTTTTGTTTGTTTGTTTGTTTGTTTGTGTTTTTTTGTTTGTTTGTTTGTTTGTTTTTTACTTCAATTTGCTTGCTTCAACGAATGAGAGCACAATTTGGCTCCTTTCTCAGTGAAGAGGAAGCCAACCAAACATGACTTTCACCAGGCCTCAGTTTTTGGCCCCAGATTTCAACATACACTATTACAGCGATCAAAAGAACCATAGAAATCACTTATCATTTTACTTTTCCTTAACACATTTCACAGTCCTGCAGCAAGCAGAATCACAGATGAACCTCAGAACATACAGAGAGCACAACTACTACACTGGACATGAAAAGGAAATTTTATTAAACATGTTTACATAACATGAGTTGGAAGTTCATTTAAAAGCACAGGGGAGTGTTAAGACAAGTGGTCAAAATAGAAAGATACTATCGAATTATAACTAGTTGGTGTTTGGCCACTAAGACAGAACAGGATCTAGTAGTAGTGCACCAATTCTTGAGTTCTTCCTGCTCAGCAGGTCGAGCAGTAACCAATCTGTGCCCTATGGAAAGATGGGCAGAGTAATTCCCACGTGTTGAGTAATAATAAATAGTTCACTTGGTGCAGGCAGTATGTCTATGAATTAAAACCTAGTGTGTACACAGTTTCTACATGTGTTACAGCCCCACAGTAGGAATCTACACCAAAATAGTTATTAGAAGGAATTTGGTCCATACTACATCACGTTTTCCATAGGGTAAAAAATAAAGTCCATCTATAGACATTTAGCACCAGACTCACAGACCTAGCCTGGCTAAAACCTGCAAAATGTCTATAAGAAAAATGGATGGCTTAGATTTCTTGGTTACTTCAGTATAGTAATTACGAGCAAACTGTACAAGTACATGCAACATACAAGCTGGCCTATGTGGAACTAACATACATTATTAAATAACCTTTTTCATCTCTTTTTACAAAACGTGCATGCAGCTTTGAACAGTTCCAAGTCATGCTGCTCTATTTGTGTGATCACAAAATTGAATGGCCTGTAAAAGGAGGGGAAACATATCAATGCACCTGCAGGAATCTGCAGTTGTTCTCACATTTACAGAATATCACAAGGGATTTCAAGGCCAAGAGGAACTCAAATGAATAAAAAGCAAATTGAAATTTGACTTTTTTTTTTTTTTCTCCAAAAAGTAAGATATCTTGCGTTAAAAAATCAAGCCTTGTGCTTGCATCGATCTCAAAGAAATGTAAACTAAAATTTGATAAAAACATTAGTAAGTGCAGAATATTTCAACTGGAATTTCCAGTGAAACACTGAACAACTCATACCATGCTCTATCCAGGGCAGACAGGTGCGTCTGAAGTGACACACATCAGAGAAGCCTGGGTACAGCTGAAAGTGTCATATGCTCAATCCATTCCTGGTCAACATTTTGGGAAGTCAAATATACATTTATACACAGAAACGTAAATATTTCCTCTCCATTTCTAGGAGGAAAATTGCATTACCAGTAACATATTCAATGTCAAAATTAAGACTAAAGCTGCTTTATACCAGTCCCCAGCAGTAGTTGCAGAATTCTTCAAAATTCTTCCATGCAAAACATCATAAACATAAAAGTTATTATATATAATGCAAACATATCTGCTTTTTACAAAGAAAAAGTGGCACTGTGATGATTATTTGTTTTTAAGAATATAACTTAGATTGGTCATTTGTTCTGGGTTCCCACGTGAGAGACTTGGAAGTACCAGAACCGAGAAACTATTTGAGCTTGCTGGAATCATAACTGTGGCTGTTGAACACTTTAACGATGCTTACAGAAATATGCTTCAGCCCTTTTTTGTTTGGTTTAGAAAAAGAAAGGAAGGGTCTCTGTCAGCATTGCGAGGACTTCTACAAAACTAGCAGAATCACATGGCAAAAAACTAGTGGAAGTGACAAGTACAGAAAAACTGCTGAAACACCAGGAAGGTAACACTGGTTGAGGGCTCGGTCAAAATGTGAAAAATACAACATTGTTAGCAGAGTGAGAGCTTCCAGTTTGGGGTCATCTTTGACTTAAGTCGAATCTAAAGGTGTCTCTCTCTCTTTTTTTTTTTTTTCTTTTTTTCTTTTAATCATTATAAGCATCGGTGATAGCCTCTAATAGATTGGCTCTATGTGACGTACCTTTGTTCTGTCATTTTAAGCCATCGCTCGACAAACAGACATATGTTTGGATAACTACTACAAGCAAAAACAGAAGTGATTGTCTCTCTCCAACAGTGTTTTTTGATCATGTGAATATCTGGTTCCAATTGTTATCCTGGGTGATGTTTTTATTAGACAGCACCTGCTACTACGATCTAATGCAGGGAGGCCCAGTTGAACTTTCCAGAGATGACTGGGAAGCCCTGCGTGTCAGGGGAGTCAAGGTTGGATCCACTAGTGATGAAGGTGGAAATAATTTGTACCAGCCTATTACCACACTGGACAGATCTAGTTCCTCCAGAAGGATCTGGGCAACTCCCATGAAGCATTTGTGGTCCATTCGACCATAGTCTCCCCAAACTATTACCTAGAAGAAAACAAAATACAGGTTAAGCACTGTCCCCAGATCCATGCTTATATGTTCAATCCTGTTGTTATGTGTAGCATTAAGGAAAATGTTATCCTTAAGGGTGAATGATTGCTCTCTCTTGTGGGAAAACCTAATGGCAGGACAGGAGTGAGAGTCAACAAAAGAGAAATGTTTAATACAGACAGACATTTTGCAGGTCTGAAATGAAACCACAAGCCACAAGGATGTGTTTGCTGGTATTTATAAAATTAAATCCTTAGTGAGTTGGAATGGGCTTAGGCATATTGCTTAAACTTAAGTAAACATGCAAGTGCTTCTCCAAATGATAGCCTAAAATGGGATTCAGAAGCAACTGACCTGAAGGACTTTACCCTGTGGACTTTCATCAAAAACCAGTGTCTGTTGGTACAAAGGATCAAGGGTCTTCCGTGCAATTCTTGTCTTCTTCTTAGCTATACATGCTCCATTTTCCAATAAATACACTTTGACATACGGAGCTGCAAACAGAACATCATGAATTTTATGTTTGGATTTAAAACCTTTTACACTGCACATCTGAGCTGGAGGACAAATGCCTTAAAAGGAAGCTGAGTTGAAAGAAAATGACATGTTATCTTCACTGTATAATCTGAATACAATTATACTCATAAAATAAATGACACAGCCCATAAGAAATCAATTTGATTTTTATAAACTTTGAATGTAATGATCTAAGATGTTATTAATAACAATTACATTTCACGCCTGTCATTTTAAAAACACTTTCTTTTGCCAGGAATTAACTGTCACCGATAGCTATTCTGGAGTCTCTATGTATGTTTTGGGGTCAGAGATACTTCAAAACAAAAGACTTTGATGTTTCACTGAAAGGAGTATTTAAAACTAAGTCACTCTGGTAACACAGACATTAATTTCTCTTTCACCTTCAGCTCCTGAGGAGGCTGTAAAGTACCATTTTGGCAAAATGTTACCTGAAACAACCGTTCCAGTTGCTACGGCAAACTGGTTGTGGCAGCAATTATAAATCTCCTCTAATAAATATTTCTATAAATAACTAGAACTTCAAAATATGCTCTTATAAAATGACACAATATTAAATCTCATTCGTTATACAAATTATTGACACTGACACTAGCATAACCTGCTGTCTTCCTGAAGCACTGCTGCGTACAGAAGATCTTGGCATGTGCGTCTGTTAAGCTGTTTGTTCAAAGCACTTTCATCTGTTCTCCGTCTCTTGTTTTGATGTGGAACAAACACAATGGACTTCATCTACATCAACAAAGCCCCTCTGAGATATATGACTTCCCTAAGATACGCAGAAATACTTCTGCAAATGTTCCTTCTAGAACGGACATTGAGTTGCTGAAAATCATTCCTTGAAAGGTGGCATGCAACTGGCAGACGCAAGGTGGTAAGAAGTGGACTTTGGTAGCAAGGAAATGTCTGCACACACATTCCGTGTTGAAAACCAAACCAAAAAAAATGCAAATGTAGCCACAGGTAAATAGGAGCTCAAAAGGTCTCCAATCATCAGTTCATCAGCATATTTTATATTCTTGTTTTCTGTTCTTATATTGTCTATTTTTTTCCTCACCTGGGGTAGACTTGGAGCCAGGTTTTTGTGTGAGGCCACGGGCTCTAATGACTTCTACTTCTAACTGGCCCTTTTTATCCACCATTCCAATCTGGATGTCACCTGAGAGGGAGAAGAAAGAAGCCCACATTTTAGAGAAGCAGTACAGCCCGGGAGATAGGGTGTAAGAGCGAGAAACAGAAAGACTAGTTTGCAGCTAATCTGCTGCATTAGTGTTCTTGTCACCCCTCCTCCTGATTCCTTTAATTTCTCCATCCTTAAACCAGGACTAAAAGATATATACTTAGGGAGCATGGTGACCTCTCTTGGTGTACGGTTTATACCAGAGCTCAGTATTTCTGATCCATGGAGGCAGGCAAATTTACAGCAACGCTACGGTATAACCACCACAGCTTTAATTTTGTACTGGTGAATTATCTAGAAACTTCCTACCTCAGATGGTTGCCCCAGTGTACCAGTCACTGGCAAGTGCTTCCCTGACAGTGGTCCCACACTCAGAGAGCCTAAAACCCAAACTCGTGTTCAGAAATCTCCTCGGCTGGAAGTTTCTGCCTCCAAGCTGAGATGCAGGAGCTGGCAGTTTGAAGGCTCCTTGTCTGATGAAGAAGAACTGCTGGTAGAGGCTAAGGTTGAAACCATTTTCCGTGACTACAACTGCCTGACTGGATCCTCAGTGTAAGGTAAAGACACCAACCAGACGAAGCACGCGGTCACAGCACAGCTTTGGAGAGTGATGGCCTGCCCTCAAGAGTTCAAAAGAGGTCTTTTTTCTGCAAAAGTCTCCAACAAGTACAGGGGTGACAATTTTCCTGGCTTTGTCAATACTCCATACCCATTTTTGGCGTGAATAAAAGGATGCAACATGTTGAAACAAGAAGCTGCTTTCACTACTAAATAGTCAAGTGTCCTTCCTTGCCTGAGTTCTGACAAATGACATTTTCTGCAAAAAAAGGAAACTGCTTAGTCCAAGACCAAGCACTGTTCTGACCTAGGTCAATAAAATGCAAGGGAAGTCAACTATGAGCTGATGCTCAAAGCGTTATATCTCTATGGTTTCACGTGTCGTGCAATCAGCTGGGTAGAAATCTAACAGGCCACTTAGAATAAAAAATGCACAGTATGCCATAAGCAGCTGTGTGATGCCTGTGCAAATAAATGAACTGTACATATATACATGGAACACGTGAGTATGCATATACTTGACATGTAAACTCTGATTGTCTAAAAAACCAGACTCACAAATATTGAACTATAGCATTTGGGATCCAGATTTCGAAAGACAGCATTTTGAAATCAACTGGACATGAGATTTTCACATGCTTGTCTAACAGTATATTAAAGCAGTGTTTATACCTTGGTACTTGAGGTATGACAGAGCAACAGGGAAGATTTTTTTATCAGTCAAACTTTGATCAAATAAATAGAGCTTTGTGTTGCACTAAAAATAATTCACAGAAAAATTCCACCAGCCTCTTTAAGAGCACACCTCTTGTATCTCATATCCAAAATAAAACATGCAACAGGGAACCAGGAGGGGGAGCAATAATACAAACATTTTCAAATCATCAGTAGTGAAAGAATACCACATAGGGGGTCTTCTGAAAATTGTTAAAAAGCATGATTCATTACTTTTTGGGGGCCAAAACTTGAGAAGTTCTAAGAAGTGAAAATAATCTGCAGAAACATATTTAGCCAGAAAACAAGACTAAAATAAAGAGATGGAATAAATCCAGACCCTTACATTCATACCGCTAGAGCCACTTAGATTTTTATTGGGCGAATCATCCCACAAATATCTTCTCTTTCAAAATAAAAAAATATTAATTTAACAAGTTTGGTGCTTATTACTGTATTAGCAGCAGTCATGTGGACTTACACAGCAACCCTTGCCTTAGGGGATACTCAAAGCATTCTCAAGAAAGTTTGTGTCTCCTCCTGCTCATGAGTTGGTAGGGGAACACTCTCTTCTGCAATTTTTCTTTCTGTTTCTCTCTCCATTTTCAGAAGTGGCTCAGTAGCCCTTCCTGAAGCTGGTTCTTCCAAGGCAGCTGTACTGAAGCGTTGGCTATTTATCATTTCCAGCAGGAGAAGTGTGGTTAAAGTAGCGGATTAAGGGCTCCTCACTTAGCATCCTAAAGCATGTCTAAGAATTGCTCATATAGAAGCAAAAAAAAATTGAACCTTTCCAAAACTACGTACACAGCACTGAACTGTTGTACACCTTATACACTCATACTATATTCATAGACTCCATTCATAACCAAGATACAGCTAATGCTAATATAAGGAAATAAGTACTGGCCTGGAACACAGAGATCACAGATGGCCCCAGGCAGATGCTGTAGAAAAGGATTTTGTCTTTTTAATGGCACAGTTGCTTTATGAGCAACTGGTTACTGGGTGTTGAAAATGTGGGCAGAAGTTTCACTTTCTGAGGTTAGATGAACTAAGCTTGGACAAGTTCAGAGTTTGGCCAGAAACTGTCTGTCGCAACCAATATAATCTGTGGCAAGTAAACATAAACTCTGAACAGCTGAGATACAACTGGAGAAATCACAGTAATTTTGAGTGGGAAGTAAAGTGAAACCCCTGTCTTCAAATTGAAATTTATATTAGCTGACACCTCACATGGAGCAAATACTGTTTCTCACCCCATTTTGGATACTATAGCATGCTAGGAATGCCAGTGACTGCATATAGGACCTTCATGTTTACACTGAAGGAAGCCACTTTGTAGAAGTCTTTTTGGTGCTGTAGTTAGTTAAGTAACACAGCACGTGTGTTAGTTAATTGGGTTATTATTCATTTAACAGAGGAGAACATATTATTCTTACCCATGGCAGGCGTTGCTAGTGTTTGTCGGCCTACTAACTGTGCAGGTCCAAGTCCATCGAGGAAATCACTAAACTGACTGTCAGCGCCCAGCCGTACTCCAGGAAATATTAAGCTGAAGACAAAATAAAAGCTGGTTAAGCACAAGAACAGGATTAATTTCTATTGTCCTACAGTATGTACCCAAAAGTACTATTGGTACAAGTCAAGTAGCTCAGGATATGCAACCACAAATTGTTCTGCAGCATCAGGAACAAGCTGTCTCCCATGGACCCCAAAGAAGTGCAGTGAAATTCTGCACATGGACTCAAAGTAGTCCATAAAACAGTTCTTTCTAAGGAGTTCTCCAGGAGCAGTGAAGAACCTGACAGATGAATAAACTATGAGTGACCTTGTATGAGAAAACATAAAAAGCCTCATGAAATTTAATAATCATTCTTCATTCTTGAATGCTTGATTTATCATGTAATACTGTTTTAAATCCATACCTACATCCAAACCCCATCCAAATCAGTTAAAACAAATTTGGAAAACAGGTGTATACACTAAATTAATCTGATTGCTGCAGCTGTTTAATGAAGCAGTAAACTGTCAGGTAGTACTAGTGTTGATTAGATCTAAATCTAATGCCACTCCCTAGCCGAAATATTCTGGGAGCCACATCTGGACCTACAGTTGGTACCAATCCCTCTTTCAGAACACAAACTGAACTGTAAGACATTGGCACAGAATATATGGAAACATTCAAGTCCAGGTTGGACGGGGATCTAAGCAGCCTGATCTAGTTGAAGATGCCCCTGCTCATTGCAGGGGGGTTGGACTAGATGACCTTTGTAGGTCCCTTCCAACCCAAACTATTCTACGATTCTATGATATGAGCTTTTACAAGCTGCTTTCTTGTATTTCAGAATCTCCACTTCTTTTCAATAGATATAGTCTCCAAAAAAATAACAAAAGAAAGAAAGAAACAAACAAAACCCCCAAAACCAGAAAGAACGGACCGTGGTGGGGAGACTCAGCTTTGACTTCCTCATCACAATTATGAGGAACAGAAGAGAGACTTTAAACCAAGTCTAGATAGCATCTTATCCAGCAGGCCATCCACTACTCCATATCTGGTTCTTCCTCAAATGAAATTCCTGATTAGACTGGAGAAAATAATAACAAAACTTCCTAATAAAAACATCTAGTGTGAAAAGCTTTGATTTCCACCTATCAAGCTTATGTTCTCCAGTCATTCAATTCACACTGGAAACTCTTTGCAAATCCCAGTTAGTTGGATAGAAAAAGGCCATTCCTCTCTTCAAGACTAACTGTTCTTACTATACCTACAGAAATGTTTAGACTGCCTGTAACTAAAGCTAGCCAGAAAATATGAGCACAGTGCTTTTCATTAGAAAGCTCTGATTTACAAAAAGGTAACCTTTTCTCTGAAGCTTAGTTTTAAGAAATCGTTTTTTTTTTTTTTTTTTTTTTTTAAGAAGGTTCCTTTACATGGAGGAGGAAAAGAACCTCAAGGCTCCAGTTCAACGATCATCCCACCAGTTACAGCATTCACCTAACCTTGAGATGCAGTTTCAAGCCCACCTTTCCTGACAAGACACATAATCTGCTTCTCTCCCCAGTGGCACTACCTGTTCACTCTTGGTCCTGATATGAAAAGTTCCTTGCTCATTTCTTTGGCCTTTTTCCCCTAAATGTGTTACAGTTTGCTATGGAATGACTAACAACATTGAAAATGTTCACTTGAGAACATTGCCCCTTTTCAGACACCTCTAGCATAATAATGAAGGTTGTGAAGTACACATTCACCTTAATTTGAAGTCATTAAACTCCAGTTATGGGTCAAGCAGAAGAACATGATGTGGTACCTGGGGATTCCTACCCACTGTAGGAATCTGCATTCTCAGCTGAGTTACACATCTGATTGGTCTTATGAAATGCAGGATGAGGCATGATACTGTCAATAAACTCTGTGATTTGGAAGTAAAGTCAGTATCATAATGTATGCACACACAAGGAAGGAAAAGTAGCTCACTGTCATGGTTTAAACCGAAACCAGGACACCCATGCAAACTTAACATAAGAATTTCCCAATTATCATCGTTACTCACCTACAGTAATGTCAAGAGTGAACTGCAGACAAAATACTATTCAAGCAACCCAAGATGAGCTCTTGCTGATTTTGATGGGAATCTCACGAGACAGAAAAAACCTAGCAAATAGCTTCACTATTCTGAATACAAGGTGCTATCAAAAACTTGATTCATGCTCACAATAGAAATAACATCCAAAGTTAAAGGTGACATTCCTAATGTTTGAAAAAGGCCCAGAAGAAGGATGGAGAGAGGGAGAGGATTTTAGGATCAGCTGGCACAGTGCATGTATCCCTGATTATGTGATGCAGTTGTGCAGCTTCCCCTCCACCTTGCAGTTGTGTCCAACTTGTGTTCTACAAATAAGCCAGTGATGCATGTGGGGGAAGTGATTAAACAGAAAATTGTTTTAGTGGTCCTCGTTCTTACAAGAATCTCTGCATTTAACTTCCTTCATTCACTGTTGACTAAACCCAGAGCTTCTGTAAACTAACATTATTCTATCAAAATCATGCAAGTTTGCAGAGCATTTGAGGATTTGATCTATAGGTAAATCACAGCATCATAGAAAAACAGAAGATTTCAGAGAAGTTTTTTAAGACACGAAGTACAACACCACACTGACCAGAGCCCTCTGGTATTCCTTTTGGCTATAGCATTGTGTCCTGTTTAAGGAATGTCTCTCTTCCTTCATTGCAAGATATACTTAACTGTTTCACCTGAGTTCTGTTATCTGCCTCCTTGGCCCATTCTCCTGGGCCTCCCTTCATAATCACTGTAAGGTATTGGTTGTGTTCTCACTTCACTGGCCTCACCATTTCTTTACTCTTGCCAGAGATTGGAATAGGGATATGGAGATCAGGGATGGTGTTTATGGCTAAGGTCAAGGGCGAAGTGAGTTTGAGTCAGGAAATTAATCTGAGGTATACTGAGGATCAGGAATCAACCAGAAGAGCTGGTAACTATCAAACCAAAAGTCTGGGACAGAAACAATGAAAAGTTAGGGAGCTGGTACCAAAAGTATGGATCAGAAAAGCAGGACAAATATGGTCAGATGTGAAGACATCTATTGCATGAGAGTGCTGAGAGCGGTAAGGAGAACTGTCAGAGGCAGAACTGGTGCTGGAGCAGCGAGAGATAAGGAGCAGGCACAGGAGCTTAAGGAGGCAGAAACAAGACATAAGATGCAGATAGTGTGACTATGAGCTTATGAGAGCTCACTTAACCTTCAAGATGAACCTAGTTCTAAAAGATGAGTTTCAAACCAGGTTCCACTATGCCCAGGCAGCCTGCAATGTGGCCCAATAAGAAGCAAGCCCTCTGTTTACCTCCCAGGCTTGCTCTCTTCACTGCCTTGCTCAGAGGCTGATTCTTGTCAACAATTTAAGGCATTACCTTGCAGCTTCTGTCCTCCAGATCCAGATCTTAGCTGCCCCAGCCTTGCCGAACCTGTTTACACACTCTGAGAGTGGAGCAGAGGATTTGGCTGCTCTCCTGAAAAGGTCTTCACCATCACTGCTGGGATTCCACCTCTTCCATACTGCTAACCAGGGAAACAGGCTACCCCAGCTCCTCCTTAGCAGGGTCCCGTTTATTGGGCCCCTTGTCAGTGTGGTGAGTGACTGGTGACTTACAGACTGACACCTCAAAAAACAGAGAGTAAGGAGGATGGCAGGATGGAGTGTTGAAAGGGTAATGTCCTATTACAGAATCATCCTGGGAAAAATACTGGGGTATTGAACTCTTGTCCCTCATTCTTCATCTGGTGCTTATCTACTTTGTTCTTGAGTTATTCATGATGGAGCCTGCTTCTCTTACATGGTTTGGGTTGGAAGGGACCTTAAAGATGATCTAGTTCCAACCCCCCTCCGCCATGGGCAGGGACACCTTCCACCAGACCAGGTTGCTCCAAGCCCCATCCAACCTGGCCTTGAACCCTTCCAGGGAGGGGGCAGCCACAGCTTCTAAGTTCTAACACTAACACTGTTCTAGTGGTTTTTTCAGTGTTTCCAGTCCATTCTTTTCACAATGAGGGTGGTGATATCATGTGATGATGGAGAAACTGTACCTTTATGCAGCTCCTAGCCATCACCGTGGCTGCCCCTGGTGCTTCATGCCTTATACAATGTGCAGTAGCAATTGTGGTAACGTGGTAAGCATATAAAAAGATGAAGCCAAAAAAGTGCCAATCTCTCATATTTTTTTCCAGGTCTATAGGGTGCATTTGACTAAGCCCAGTTTCCCCTTTTGTGAGGAGGCATCTTCTAAGAATTCCCTAGTGACCACTGTGTCTTGGCACACATGGTAGAGTCCCATTGAGAGCCGTGAGGAGGCTGGATTATTCATACACACTTTTGTGTCAGATCTGCCTTTGTTCTCCTTACCTACATATTGAGTCATTCAGCAGTGAATGAAAACAGATGTCCCATTCCCTGCAGTCGTCTGCCCAATTTCAGCTGATGGGGCAGCTGGACTCTAGGTTTACAGTTCTCAATAAGAGACTTGGACCAACTCCAAACTAAACTTTCTTTGTATATAGTTTTACCGAACAGTTTCATATTACAGGGATTTACATACAACATCTGAAGTTTAGCTCTGAGTTAATCCAAACGTAACCCAAAGAAAAAGTACCCATATGTTTTGTTTTGAGTAATGTGGTCTGAATCTGGTTGTCTTTTGATGAACAAAATGCCTCACTGGATGACAGGGAAAATGTGAATCCTTAAGAAGTCCTCTCTCAATTTAATTTTTGAGAAATTTGTGTCATGTGTCTAAAATAGTTCAGTTCTGCAAAGGTTTAAAGAGGAAGAATCTGTACACAGAGCTATCCCCTTCAGCCAGAGCTAGGACCTCTGTTCTTACAAAGACAAGAAACTTCTCCTACATTACTGATATTTTTAATGCCACTTACTTGCCCTCGGAGCTATAACTATTTATGCTGCCATCAGTGGATTCCCGACTTGGCTGTCGAACCATACGACTTCTCATCTCTGCTGCCATTCCCGTCTCTGTGCTTCTCTGTATCGTGCTCTTTAGCTTCTTGTTGCCAGCCTCTGAAAGCAGAGAAAAAGAAGCAATAGTTAGAATGACAAGTTAGAACAAAGCCTTTCCTTGCAGTTTTCCCCCAACAACATCAATCTGACTTGACCATTACTATTTAAAAATACAAAAAGACTCTTCTGATTGAAGAAGGAATCTCTCTTCTTCAGTTGCAAACTGGCAATGACTTCTCTTTAAAAGGGCTGCAACCTGAAGATCTTTGTTAGGGCAAACTGTTAGAAATGATGTGTCTTCTTAATAACCTTTATAGAGCTGGAATGTAGACTGCAATAGTGCGTGCTAGCCATATACACAGTAAGGTGTCTCTAGCCACCTTGTTAGTTAGGTTGGGTGACTACAAAAGAAGTTACAACTCTCACAGAAGAAAAAGAGGGAAAAAAAATCCTTCACGCATTCTACAGAAAAAAAGTACTAAAATACTTAGTATCAAAAATATAATAATGTGTTTTGACTCAGCAAAATCTTACTTTTCAGGAAAGAAATTCTTCAAAGTAAACAGTAAGCTTTATATAACTTCTGATCTCGGCGCTTCCTAAGCAGAATTAACTCCCAGAGAATTTGTTTGGGAGATGATGGACTTCACAGGCGAGGCTTGCAACTGAACATAACAGAGTCATGTAAATCTTGTGAAATTTTTGAAAGACTGATCCATTTGGAAAAGCTTCCATCACACATTCTTTAAAATGCAATTTCAGTTCCGCCTGGAAGTTTTCATGTTACCCTTGAGCAAGGAGAGCTTACAGTCCTTTACAGGGGTGGTTATGGGATCAAGGTGCAATGGCCGATCTACAATGAATTCTGCTGTCTCATGGCAGAAATTATGCTTCTATATGACAATAATTGTTCTCAAAGATCTTTAACTGAAATACATCCACCAAAGTCTCTACATGATGTAATAGCATATGTTGACTTCAAAATCAGTGTCCTGTTCTATTTCATTTAGTTCAGCCTGTCATTCAGTGGGTAACATTACTGTCTCTCAGGAAGTAATAGATTTGACAAAGTTTCACATAAGTGTATGGAAAAATATTCTCCTGCATTTGCCTCTTCATTTCAGTGCTCTTTCATTCGCTCTCTGCAAAGTCTATGCTTCCTTTTCACAGTCTGCTCAGGGGAGCATCCGAAAAAGTAAATGTTTCTTCTACCTCCACCCGATGAAAAATTTTTCACCTTCCTGTTTCACAGGGACATAGTTGATATTTGAAGCTGGCAGACCTTGACCTTTCTTCACATAAAAGTTACAGCTTTGGTAGACCCCACATGGCCTGCCCATTGCTCAGGGTGTTTAAATGGGCTGTGGAGAACAGCAAGCCCTTGCTCTTTGGGTCTGCAGAGCTAGTGGAGGGCAAGGAGAAATCACACAACATAGCAGCTCCCTCTCCTCCTGAGTTATGACAGTAACCTCTTTGGAGCTTGTGGAGAGACAGCAAACATGGCCAAAGTGAAAGAGAAAGAATTTGTATGTTGGGTTTAGAGGAGACATCACCACAGCAAAAGGGGCTGTGGTTTTCTTCTTAAGCCTTCTGAATCATGGGTTGTTTACCTATGGCCACCCAGAAGCAGAGAAACAAATGCCTCTGAGTGGAAAAAATCAACTACTTCCACAGATCCTTTAGTTTCTTCTCTGAAGCTCTGAGGTTTTGCTGTGGGCCACTGTGACTCATCCAAATTCCCAGTCCTTGGTCAGCTGAAAAGGCATTATTCAGTGCTGCTAAAGTGAGGTAGAGTAGGCTAGACAAGGCACACCTGGCAGACCAGGCTCCACTCTCAGGCAGTGAAGGTGGCTGTGGAAGGTATTTGCTGGAACTTCAGTGACTCCATATGTAGGAAATCAAATGCTACATTTTGGACCTGAGCTTTATCTTTAAAAATAAATGGTGTGTCCAGCATATTAACACTGAAAAGTAAGCTGAGCATCAAAAATGAATTAAAAGGCAGCCTAGGAAGTAGAACCCACATGTAGAGCCCTACACCAAAGCAGGATTCTCACATTTTCAGTAGCTATTCATTTGCCACCAATATTATTTTGTGCCTCTCTCTCTTGCTGGGACCTGTCTGAAAGTGCCTGTGTTTCCATTTGCTCCTACAAAGCAGGTGAGATTATGTGGTTTACTCCCCGCCTTCTTTTCTGGAGCCAGCCAGATCAGGCAGCATGACTGGAAGAATATTATATGGTAGAGCCTGAAATGTGGGCAGCTGAACAGGGTTGCCTGTGAGTATTCATGGCTCAGGAAATGGAAGTGATGACACACTAAAGGGAGCTACAAGATCATCATGACCTTGGCATGTTGCTGTGGGCCACCTGGGCAACACGGTGGGTGATGAAACTTAGGGGTTAGAGCCAGGCTGTTGGGAAATCATCATGAAGAACATATTCATGGAAATAATCACTGTAAAAAACACCCACTGACTAAATTACAGAAATTAATATTTTAGCTTTCAGCCACACTAGGGACTGAAAACAGCAAGAGCTTTTTTTTGATGGAGTGATTTTATATTATCATGGATAACATCCATGTTGCTGTTTGAACATCTTTGCTCCACGGATTTTAAATGCACAGTCCTTGAAGTAGGAATCCTTGTGCATGGCCATAAGCAAATTCACAACCTTGTACCTCTGTGCTGCAAGTACCAGACTGTCTTTTTTCTGAATATTTTTCAGGTCAGTGCTCTGTCTTACTGTGCTAGATTCCAGTTCTTTTTTTTATCTTGTCAACATCTTTTTTTTTCAGGTTGAAGATTAAAAAAAACTATTTTGCATTCTCTTTTAACTGCTACTAATATCCACAGTTTTTCCTTGGAAAACTAGTCCTCCTGCATATTTCGTTTTATAATCTCTGTCTTAATATTCTGCAGTACAATCAGAAATATAACATAAAAGTAACCCATAACAGAATGGTAAAATACATAAGGAGAATTGCTTTTGCCCATGACTAAGAACCGAAATACACATTGCACAGGTTTTGGAAGTTTTAACCTTGGTCAGTTATGTATTTTATTTCTTTTGTCCACTTATAGCACAAAAAGTAATGAGAACAGTTTATCTTGTTGGTGTACTCCTGTAAACTTCTCAGCAAAACCTAGTTCTGCAAGGGAGGGAGGTGGTTAGCATACAGATGAGTTGGGAACTGCTGTTACTTCTGAAGGCATCCTGGTAACGTGGTCACTCTGAGGGACAACTTCCATTCCTGCATTGACTGCACAATGAAACACACAATCAGAACAACTACCGGTGTTTCTCCTGCTTTTGATAATGTTTTGTGGATTTTTAATTTCATTTTCATCTTGTATTAGTTTTCATCTAGCTGTCCTGCATATACCTTTGGAATGCTGCCTTTAAATGAACAGTGCAAGTTCATAAGATATTTAAGTTCAATATCTATGCTATGATATATGGAGATTTTCTACTCTTGCCTGGATATCTGTTGAAGAATGCTTGATCCTGCTCCTGATTTTTATTATTTTGATATGTACAATTACATTTTATATGTTACAGTTATTTGCCTGCACTGTGTAAATTACATCAGATTCATTGGGCAGACTGATGATAAACTGCCTCTATACTGAATACCATTTAGGGGCAAAATTTACTCCAAAATGGTCTGTACGATTCTGTCTGCTGTGTCAATTGTGTAAGGCTTTCTGCACACAGAAATGCAGACTGATGTGCATAAATTGCATGTAAATACATAGTTTAACAGGTACAAGCTAGAGAAAAACTATTACAGAGCAATTGTGATGAATATTTTTGCAGATTTAATAACTGATGCAAAAGGATCATAAAGCAGCCATCTGCAGCTACAAAATATACACAGCTTGTGAGCATTTTGCAATTCATCAACAGCCTTGTTACAGCACTCCTGCAACAACACACTGATGAGTGTGTGCAATGTGCTATTTCAGTCTACCTATTTTAAATATAGCCTACAGTTACTCCTTTTTGGTCTGACAAGAAACTGGTCCCTGATTTTGTTTTTCTCATACAAAAGTAAATTAATGGAGATCTTGATCTAAGTAATGATGAATAGCAAAAAGCAAGCTTGTTAGTGTATGCACTACCTTACATTTGCACAAAATATCAATGCAACAGATGTGTCCCCAATTTCTGTACTTCCTAATCACCTTCAAGTATAGCAGCCAGGAGCAAAATGCTACTGACAACAGTATCATATTAGTGATAGAGGGTCAGTGATAGCATCTATAGAATTAAGATGGCCTACTAGAGATACCTCAGCGCTAGCTTTATGTTTCCAAAGGCATCCAATTCGGAGAGGACAATGCCAGGACGAACGGCCCAAAATGACTTGTATCCATGACTGTCCTTAGCAAAGGCATGCCTGCACATGGCATCACCATTGGCCTGGCTTTTTCTCTGGGCAACATGTGGTGCCTGGAGACAATTACTACATTTCCCTCTTGTTTCAGTATAGTAAGTCTGAAATAACAGGAGGGGCTGCACCATGACCTGCTAGAGTAATGTTTTTATCCTGTGATGCTCAGGTGTGTATGGCACACAGAAGGCTAAGGGACATACAGGAATATGCAAGAACACAAGCTTGTCAACGTAGTCAGTAGGACAGTGTTAGACACCTCTGTGGAGCAGAAGACGACAATCCTGACATGGTCTTCTGTGTATTGCCTATAGAGAGAGGTGCCTTGAGTGAGCATTGCCCAGAATCGCACCTGAGGGCAACAAGTTGGTTAGCACCAACAAAAGAAGCAAATTTACACACATGCAGCACCTTGGTATGTGGTATGGAAAATCCACGACTGGTTCAAAAGAACGCTCCAGAGAACAAAGCACACACCACTGCTAAATCCACTAATGAAAGGGATAATAAGAAGGGTACTAATACTCAGTGTCATCGCATGACTCAAGGGCAAATTATTCACAGTAACAAACATGCTCATGCATCCATAGAAAGCCTAAAGGGACTACAGCTCCAAGCCAGCTCTGACCGAAACCTGGCAGGACTGTGACCATATTGTTAGT